CGGCCACACGGTGGCGCTGCGTCCCGCTCGCCCGCCCGCCGCTCGCCCGCAGCCTGCAAGCGCAAGGAGCAGGAGCAGCAGAAGGAGCGCGCGCTGCAGCCCAAGAAGCAGCGCCTGGTGTTCACCGACCTGCAGCGGCGCACGCTGATCGCCATCTTCAAGGAGAATAAGCGCCCGTCCAAGGAGATGCAGGTCACCATCTCGCAGCAGCTCGGCCTGGAGCTCAACACCGTCAGCAACTTCTTCATGAACGCGCGGCGCCGCTGCATGAACCGCTGGGCCGAGGAGCCCAGCACGGCCCCCGGGGGCCCCGCCGGCGCCGCGGCCACTTTCTCCAAGGCCTGAGGCGCCCCGGCCCGCGCCCTCCCTGCCTCCACGGCCTGGGCGCTGTGCCCCCGCGTCTCGTCCCCCCATCCTGCCGGCCCGGAGCCCCGCCCCCCAGGGGGCACCCGGAGGGGGTGCCGTCCGGACCCCCCACCCCCCCCAGCCCAAGTGCACAAAACGGGCCCCCTCCTCCCTCCATGCCAACCCCTCCAGGCCAAAGGAAGCCCTTCACCCCCCAGAGGGGAGGGGGTGACAGAAAGGGGTCCCCAGCCCCCTCTCCATTCAGGCGCCCAGAGGGCCCCGAGAAAATCCGGGGCTCCCTGTGTGGTCCCCGAAAGCGGGTCAAGAAGCACATACTAGAAATGTAAACGGGTATTTGAAAAAGGAATTTTTAGGAATAACCCTCCTCCGCCAGCGCCCCTGCCCCAGAGGGAGGGGGAGAAACCTCCCTTCCCCACCCGCCGCCCCTTCCAAAGCCGCCAAAATCCCACATCAAGCCGGATCCTTAGGCCCCCGCGCCCCCCAAAGCCAACCACGCCCGCGGGCAGGACGCCCCCCCCAGCGGCCAGGCCTCCTCGTGCCAAGAACCCGCTGCCTTAAAGTCTGGGGAGGGGCCTGCGGCGAGCGCCCTTCCCGCCCATCCGGCCGCAGGGGGCGTGGCTCCCACGCGCGGGTCACGCCCAGGCGCCCCCCCCCCCCCCCCGCCCCGCCCCCTCTGTGGAGTTCAGTTCGCTTTAGGCACCTTCGTGGGCGCGCAGGGAAGGACGCGGCCGCCGACCGCAGAGAAGACGCCCCGAGGCGCCCCCTGCACCGGGCGTGGAGCCGCTTCCTGCGTGGAACTTGTGGAAGTCTCCGCCCGCGTCGGGGGCTGAACCTGGCCTGGACTGCAAGACGCCGGAGGAGGTGGAACCCGCCTGCCCCATGTTTTTGCCAAAAAAAAATTACAAGCGGGAAGGGTCGGAAATGAAGACGGGCGCCCCCCTCCCGCGCCCCCTCTCATCGGGTCTGGGTGACCCCCGAGACTGGCCGCCCGCGGGCCCGCCTCCCACGGGGGTTCAAGATCTGAGGCCAGAAGGAACCCCCTCCCTGAAGCCCCCTCCCAGGGAGGGGGCGGCCCGCCCACCCCCCCCCGCACCCCGAGAATGCAAAAGACACTTCTGGTGAAACGCGCCCCCACCCAGGTAAAGGCTACCTCACTCAAGCTCATGTCTGTGATTGGAAAATCACGCCTGATACCAAAGATTTCTCCCGAGGACTGTGCTGGATGACAGGATTCCCTGGCCTGGGACCCGGCTTGGGCCGCCTGCCGGGTGCCAACCCTTCCCCCACGAGAGAGCGAGAGAAAGAGAGAGAGAGGAAAGAGAGACAGGGAGGGAGGGAGGATGCTGGGGTCGGTGAGTGCCTTCTTCTTGAACCAAAGACGTGTGTGGAGTGTTCTCTCGTCCTTGTCCACTCGCTATTCTCCCAGCTTTCCCCCCGACCGGATCTGAGTGATGCTTCTAGAACATTTGGGTGTTGGGGGGGTTCCTGATAGTAGAAAGGGTCCCCATGCCTGCTCAGCACCCCACCTCTGCCCCCACACACGCAGACACGCACATGCAGACATACACACCTGGAGACAGATAGGCAGACACACATGCAGACACATGCACACGGGTGTACACACATGCAGACGACACACAGACGCACATGCAGACACATGCACATACCCAAGACGCACACAGACATGCACATATGTGCACAGATGCGCGTACACACACACCCTGGCTCCTGTTTTGTGCTGTCACTGGGTACCACCTCCCACTAAAACCTGGGCCTCAGTTTCTCTCCTGCCCCCACCCGCAAGTTCCTGATGAACCTAGAGCTGTCCTGCTCGCTCCAGGCCCAGCAAGTCCGGGGCCCACGTTTTAATTTCTTTTAAAATCAAAAGGGAAAAAAAGCAAAAAAGCTTTAGGTCCAGGAAGATGTGGGCCTGATTAACATCCCATGTGACTCGTCTTTACACCATTTCTGTTTTAGAAACGGTTTTGCGGGCACCCAGGCTGGGGCGCAATCGTAGCTCGCAGCAGCCTCCACCTCCTGGGCTCAAGCGCTCCTCCTGCCTCAGCCTCCCAGTCGCTGGGACCACAGGCCCGCACCACCATGCCCAGATGAATTTTTTAAGAGTTTTTTTGTAGAGTTTTATGTTGTCCCGGCCCCAAGGGGTCCTCCTGCCTCGGCCTCCAAAAATGCTGGGACTCCAGGTAAATAGACATTTAGTGGAGGAAGCGGCTCTCCGAGGCGGTGAAGTGGTTCTGATCCAGAGCGTCAGGCTGCAGCCCTGACCCCGTGAACTTAGGAAATCCGTGCCTGGGCCTCGGCACTGGCCTTCAGGGCTCTGGATTTCCTAGATGTCCTGTGCTTGGCCTTCAAGGCTCCAGGGCTCAGATGCAACAGGGAGGTGGGGGGGGGCGGGTCTCCAGTTTTGTCCCCTGCTGGAAATTTAGGGCTTGGCTTGGGATCGTTCTGGTTGTGGAACGTGTAAGGTGAACTGTGGCCGGGTCGGGTCAAGCCCCTCGGTCACAGAAGTGGCGCAGCAGCACTTTGGGAGGCCGAGACAGGAGGATCACTGGAGGCCAGGAACTTGAGACCAGCCTGGGCAACACAGCAAGACCCCACCTCTACCGAAATGTAAAGTGGCCCAGGACTCCTGGTTTCTTTTCAGGTTCATTCATATCACCCCCACACACACGCACACACACGCCTACATCCGGACCCCACCCCAAACTTGGCCAGAACCCCACAGCAGGCTCAACCCCTGACCCGCCCCCAGCCCCTCGGGGGGCCCCCCTCGTGCCTCCCCCGTCCCGTGCCCACTTGACGGTCACATACCAAAGAGCATCGGTTCTCCACGCAGGGGACAGCACCTCCGGCACAATTCCTTCGAGCCTTTGACAATTTTCTCTGAAATACCTCAAAATATTTAATGTATAGTTTATGTGATTTAAAAAAAAAAATCCTTAGCTAGTTTTTGGAATATGTGACTGAAGCTTTATACCGTTAAATTATAATTTTGCAGACGATGGCATGTCGTTTCTTTGACGAGTTCCGTGGGAGACGCATTGAATGTCAGGGCTGGAGACCAGAGGGAGCGTGATCGGGAGAGATAGAGAGAGAGAGAGAGAGAGAGGGAGGGAGGGAGAGGGGGGGAGAGGGAGGGAGAGAGAGGGGAGACGGGGGGGAGGGAGGGAGGGAGAGAGGGGGGAGAGAGGGAGAGAAGGGGGAGACGGGGGGAGAGAGAGAGAGGGAGACGGGGGAGAGAGAAAGAGGGAGGGAGGGAGGGAGAGAGATGGAGAGAGGGAGGGAGAGTGCGGGAGACAGAGGGGGTGGGGAGAGAGAGAGGGAGACAGAGCAGGGGAGAGAGAGGGATGGAGGGGGGAGAGAAAGAGGGAGGGAGAGAGGGGGAGAGAAAGGGAGGGAGAGAGGGGGAGAGAAAGAAGGAGGGAGAGGGGGAGAGAAAGGGAGGGAGAGAGGGGGAGAGAAAGAAGGAGGGAGAGAGGGGGAGAGAAAGAGGGAGGGAGAGAGAGAAAGGGAGGGAGGGAGAGGGGAGAGAAAGAGGGAGGGAGAGAGAGAAAGGGAGAGAGGGAGAGAGAGGGAGAGAGAGTGAGAGAGAGAGGGAGAGAGAGAGAAAGAGAGAGAGGGAGAGAGGGGGGAGAGAAAGAAAGGGGAGAGATAGAGGGAGAGATAGAGGGATAGAGAGAGAGGGAAAGAGAAAGAGGGAAGGAGAGAGAGGGAGAGGGAGGGGAGAGGGAGGGGACAGAGAGGGGGAGGAGAGAGAGAAAGGGAGGGAGGGAGGGGAGGGAGAGGCACATTCTCTGGCTGTTCTGTTTCTTGTTTTTGGAGTCATGTCTTATAAGAGTATTTATTATTCTCTGTGTTCTGTGTTCAAATGTAATTTAAGAAAAAAAAGGAAGAAAAATGCAAAAAAAAAAGACAAATGGACTTGGAGCTGGTGCGTGAGTGACGTGCTTTGCTGCCGCTGACGGGGGTGGGGGGGGTGGGGGGGGTATGGGGGGGCCGTCTGTGCCGGTCGCTGGTTTCTCGTTGCTGCTTCTCCAGCCGGGACAGGTGGACAAGGCCCCAGGTCGAGGGAGCGGGAGCAGGGCCTCAGCACCCAGCCCCAGATGCCACCTACCTGCCCCAGCCAGGCGGGAGCCCCCAGCCCTCCCCCGCCGCGTTCCTGGTTCTGGGGTCACTGCGGTGTCGCCCACATCTTAGGCCGCCCCACCCCCCATCACCCGGTTGGTTTCACTGTAGCACGAACTCCCAAGTGTCTTCAGAGGAGAGAGACAATCAGCCTATTCCTGTCGCCCAGGGTGCTGGGGCGCCGGGGGTGTATCCCAACTTCCTGAGATCTGAGGACCCTCCTGAGGCCCCCCACGGCGGGCACCAGCACCCCCCACCTCCACCCAGACAGCCTCGGCCTCCCCTTCCTGGGCTGGGCATGGTCTGCCTCTCTGTCTGGTCCAGGAGGTGGGGGATGCCCTTCTGCAGAGACCCCTCCTTCCCAGCCCACTTTGGGAGCCTAGAAAACAGAGGGTCCCCCATAATCATCAGTGGGGGTTCTGGGACAATGTCCTCTGCCTCTGACTCCTCTTGTGCCATGAGGCCATGTCCCTGGGGGTGGAAGGGACGAAGATGGGCCGGCTTGGGAAGACCCCTCCTGCTTCGTTCCCAGGAGGCCAGAGGCTGGAAGAGAGGGTGGCGGAGGAGAGATGAGAGGGTCCCCTTTCAGGGACAGGTCCCAGTAGTGGGGGGCGGGTAGCTAAAAGGGGTGCTCCCCACCCCGGTCTGGAGGGCCGGGCCTGGGGCTGAGGGCTCAGCCCACCTGAAATCGGAAATGAAGCCCCCGCACCAGCGGGAGCCTGGGCCATGTCACTTTCTCTGCCCCGAGCGATTTAAGCAAAATCCGGACTCCCGGGGCTCCTCCTCGTCACCCCGTGGGTCCCCACAGGGGCTGATTTTGGTGGAATGAGCTCAGCCTGGGGTGAGGGTGAGCCCGACCACTTGGACCCTCCAAAGTCCCCTCCCCTCCAGGGACAAAGGGGAGAGAAGCCCTTCTCCACCCTCACCCTCAGGCGACAGGTTTAAGAGTTAAAAAAAAAAATCTCGTCATTGTTAACCATTGCTGTGCTGGGTTTGTTGATTTGTTTTTCTTCAATAACTCGTTTTCTGGTCACTCCACTGGGCGTGTGTGTTGGCCGATGGGTGGGGCACCAGATGGGGGAGGAGGGAACTCGCCCCACCACAAAGCCTGGGAGGGAGGACAGGGGTGCAGGGACGATGGACTGTGCCTCCACCCGGCTCAGTCCCGTCTTCCTGTGGGCCCGGGCGGCCGGCTCTGAACCTCCACCACCCGCAGGGAATGGCTAAGAATCGGAAAGAAAAGCTCGGTGCCTGCCCGGCTGTCACTGCTCCTCACCTTCCAAAGTCTAAGGTGAACGAGACCCCAGTGAGCCAAGGTTTATTCGAAGGCGAGAAACCAGGGCTTCCCAGTGGAGGAAGAAGCCAGATGGTACCAGGCCTGGAGTTGATAAACCTCCTTGGGAGGGCCCAGCTGCCAGGCAGTAGGGGAGCCACGGCTTTTAATAAGCAACTTTTGGGCCTGGCGTGGCGGCTCACACCTGTAATCCCAACACACCGGGAGACGGAGGCGGGTGGATCACCCGAGGTCAGGAGTTCGAGACCAGCCTGGCCAACATGGAGAAAACACCGTCTCTAAATAAATAAATAAAAAGCAGCTTCTGAGAACAATGAAGCTTTACCAACGCGGTCAACCCCAGGGTGAAGAAAAGCTTTCCCTGCAAATACCCTCCTGGGCCACCAGAGGTCAGAGCTTCGACTTTAAAAAACAGGAGGGAATATCCCATCACAAAAGAAGTGTAGGGAAAAGTGTCTGAGTTAGCGCTGGGGTCAGATGGACCCTGGTTTATTAGAAAAAGAAAAGTGTGCAGACGCTTGTCTTCAGAGGAAGGCCTCCTGAACGCTGGGGGGCTTGTATAGGGCAATGACTGCTCCTCTGGGGGCAGGGGTGGCTGCTCCTCGACGGGCACCAGCAGCCACTCCATGCATGATGGGCGGGCTCCACCTACATAGGCCGCTGGCTCACGGATGATTCTCCCGGACTCGGTGGCAGCGTCTCCACCTGAGATTCCTGGGTGTCGTCTGAGAGCGGCGCCATCCCCTCCCGAGGGGCGTGGGGCTCCTTTTGCCAGCTCCTCCGGAACGGTGTCAAGGGCCTCAAAAACACCGACTCCTCCTCCGAGGATTCTGCCTGGCTCTCCAACGTCAGCTGGCCTGAAAGCAATGACTGGCTCGCCAGAGGTTGTGGCCGGCTCTCGGAAGATGACAGCTGGCTTCTGCTGAGCAACGGTGATCTCTCCTGAAAAGAATGTGACCTCTCCTTAGTCAGCAGCTTCTCAGGTGGCCTCTGCCTGGGTGACAGTGGCCTCTCCTGCACCCCCGGCAGTTGCTCCTGGAAAGACCCAGATAGCCTGTTGGTGCTGGCGAGCAAATTTTTGAGAAGGGCGGGTCGGTTTTCTGAATGAAAAGTGGAGACTATCCATTGAAAACAATGAGCTAGTTGCGGAGGGGGACCGTATCTCCTCGGAGGACACCCTCCCGTTGCTGGCGCTTCTTCCCCATGGACGATACCTTCCTGAGATGCCAGTGTGACTCCTTTGGGCTCAAGGACGCCTCTCCATCACATGGGACTGGGGAATCAGAGGCTATGTCATTGCTGACCCCTGGTCCGGTCCGCAGAATTGTGCCATGAGTGATGAGGTCCGCATATCCCTCATGGTGGGAGAAAGCGTAGCTGGAACGCCGGGCATGAGACTCCCGGTATAAATGAGGCACGGGCTCCACGGTGAAAATGTCCTCTCTGGGGCCCTCCTCCACCTTCTCTTCCTGAAGAGCAGAGGGAAGAGCAGGGGAATCAGACTCCCATGCTTGGCTGATGGCTCTCAGGTGACCTGTCCCCCAGTAGGAGAGGCGGCATTCACAGCCCTCAGCCACTGTTGACTGCTGTGTTCTTCTCCACCCAAGTTGAGCCAACTACCGTCCTCGACTCCCATTGTAGAGTCCTAAGGAGAACTCGGGTCCTTGCTCTTCAACACCCACTAATGGGCCTTGCCCTGGAAACTAATCCTGGATCAGCCAATCAGAGTCCTTCCCTGGGACTTAACCCTGGATCAGCCAATCAGAGTCCTTCCCTGGGACTTAACCCTGGATCAGCCAATCAGAGTCCTTCCCTGGGACTTAACCCTGGATCAGCCAATCAGCGTCCTTCCCTGGGACTTAACCCTGGATCAGTCAATCAGAGTCCTTCCCTGGGACTTAACCCTGGATCAGCCAATCAGAGTCCTTCCCTGGGACTTAACCCTGGATCAGCCAATCAGAGTCCTTCCCTGGGACTTAACCCTGGATCAGCCAATCAGCATCCTTCCCTGGGACTTAACCCTGGATCAGTCAATCAGAGTCCTTCCCTGGGACTTAACCCTGGATCAGCCAATCAGAGTCCTTCCCTGGGACTTAACCCTGGATCAGACAATCAGAGTCCTTCCCTGGGACTTAACCCTGGATCAGCCAATCAGCGTCCTTCCCTGGGACTTAACCCTGGATCAGCCAATCAGAGTCCTTCCCTGGGACTTAACCCTGGATCAGACAATCAGTCCTTCCCTGAGACTTGACTCTGGATCAGCCACCAGGTGCCTTGGCTGCCCTTTGGCGGCAAATCCAGAAGAGGTGAGTCTGGGACAGCCGTGTGTCCAGCCTGCGCAGTAAAGGTGGCAGGGCAGGTACACCATCCAGGCAATTCTGGGGCCCATCTCGGCTGCAATCTGCTTTTCCACGCATGTTTTCGTTACATGGGCGATTAAGTCCCCCTCCCTTTTTTTGAGGGGGGTCTCGCTCTGTTGTCCAGACAGCAGCCCAGCAGCACAATCATAGCTCACTGAACCCTCACCTCCCAGGCTCAAGTGAGTCACCCGCTTTGGCCTCCCAAAGTGCAGAGATACAGTCATGAGCCACCACGCTGGCCGCCCTCTTGACCATTTTTATGCTTACAGCTCAGCAGCATGAAACACATGCACACAGTAGGGCAGCCACC